GAGGTCAATGGAAGTTAACTAAAGGGAATAGGTTTGAATAAAAAGGCTTCTTTGGTTTGAAGGGAAGAAAGAAACCCTAAAGTTTCACCTGAAGCTCGACACCATAATCTAAACGTGAGCGTTCACCGACTATTGAGTGTTGGACGCTGCATTCTCGCAGGAAGCATCCATGCGAGATTATTGATTCTACAATCTGCAAAAGCCAACGGGGGAGCATGAGATAGTTGATAGAAAAGTGCAACGAAATTAGTGAAAAGTTTACCATCATACCCGGCAATTATCAATTTTGGTTGGTGGTAAGAACCGAGGAGACGTGTAGAATGGTGTCTTTGGATCATAAAACTCGAACTTTGGTAGCTGAATAAAGAGACATTTACCGGAGGTTAATCTTATTAGAGTGTTTAAAACAATCCCATTTAACTTTTACAGTAAAGACAGAATATCAGATGCATTGGGGCACAAGGAAGATTCAAATAATGCAACAGGAGTGTATGAATAGGTATGCCCTTTTCACTAGAAGGGCAAAACAAATGCCGTTCTACTTTGCTCAGGTGACATAACTTATTCCATTCTGACATTACCATCTTGTTTTCAGTGTAATTTACCGAACTCATAACTTACCAAACTAACTGAACTGGTTGTATCCAATATTCAACAAAATCATGACAAAGGGACAAAATGGATAGAAAACCATAAATTGCCAAGTCTATAACATTAGAACCAACCTCCTCAGTGAGGGCCAAGTTAGCTTCATAAAAAGTCTTTATTGTTCCAATGTCTTCCCAATAGTCTCTGAAAATATATGCCTGACAAAACAAGAGAGATTCAATGTATAGTATGCCCTTTCTTTCTCATACATGCAGTAATCAAGATGCTTTAGGTTCTACTTTTACAGCTCTCTTACCGGGACATCGTGCTCCATCACTGCAGAAGGAATAATCTCGGATCCGAAGTCATTGGCTGTGGGATATCTCCATTGCAAGAGCTGTAGCAGAACATCTGTCTTGAATACATAGATTCCCATGGATGCAATATAAGGAGATTGCATAGCTTCTTCACGAGACAACCCTAGAACAGTGGTATCCACTTGCTGAAGGAATCATCAAGGGACATGTCATCATATCAAAGTCTTTCCCATAACATGAGTATAAGCATATACACTGAAATAGAAAATAGGTCTACATAAAACTCACCATTGCTTTCAGATCAGCACCCTTTGGCTTTTCAGCAAATTGGATGATGTGACCTCTGTTGTCTACCTTCACCAATCCATAATCAGATGCGCGGCTGGAAATCACCCATTATCAACTTTAGATGAATATCAGAGCTTGTTATTGGAGTAAGTTCGATAAATAAACAAGCACAAAATAAATAAAATTTCCTCATTATTCGCTTGTCCTAGACCAGTTAAGCTGCAACATTGAACAATAAAGGCAGAGAGCATAATTAGAACAACGTTATAAAAATGAATGAAGACTGAAAAGCACCTCCCACCAACTGGCCGGCACGAAATTGTGATATCAGCATTTCTGTCAACATGACTCTGTTATGTGATGAAACCAGGAGTAGAATTACAAATAACTCCAAAATAAAAACTAGCCGACTCAATGAAGAAAGCAATCAATACCTGCACAAAGTCCATATAATCCATTCGATAGAGATGATCCCCGCACAAGATCAATACATTTTCAACGTTACTGTTCTTGGCATCCTACAAGAAAAAAGAATGTAATTACGATATTGCATTTTGGGAAAGAGAAAAGAGGGATGAACAATGTGGAATCTAACATTTCTATTGGTTTCTGACTAGAGACGATAAGACGATACACTAAATGTAAGTAAAAGCACAAGTTCCTACCTCAAATACCCATGTAAATTGCCTGACAGCATCTGCTGTTCCTTGGAACCACTTTTTCCCTGCTTCCCCTGGTGTTTGAGTGGCTGCCAAAACCTGTTTATAGAGTGAGATTATTACTGGTCAAATAACACAGGAATCTGCAATAGCATTACAATGACTACAAGTATAAAGTGGATGCCGTTTTCTTCCTTCATATCCTTAAAGTTCAACTTGAACAGTAACCATATTCAAAATGAGGAAGATGCCATCTACTTATGTTTCAATAGAGAAGGTGTTTATCTGTTTCTTGAAATGATCAAAATCAGGAGAAGTTATTAGAATTTTTTCCTCCTTTATAATTTAACAAATCAAGGCATTACTTGCATTGGTCTACATGCCAAGTTAGGAAGCATCTTTATTAACATTCAAGATCTCTTACCTCCACAAATCCATCGCCATAATTGATACCATTTCCGAAATATGTCCGTGCAAGGTGCCTATTGAGGGAAGCTGAGTTGAATTGGGTCAAAACAAAAATCTTGTTTATCCCACTGTTGATGCAATTGCTCATCGGAATGTCTATCAGCTTATAGCATCCTCCAATAGGAACCTGAGTCCACAGTCACATAATGAGATCCACAAATGTTCTAAGGAAAATGATGCAAAAATGTTCAACAGTTGAATCTAGGAGGATATTCTACCATGGGAATGGAAATTTAAAAATGAAAAAAAAGCTGATTTTCATTTACTAATAACAATAATTTCAACCTTAACCAAATTGTACAATCTCAGAAGATGCTCCTATATGAAAATCAGTTATTTTTTTCCTTATAATTGAACTAGGGAAATTATCCATGTTCTTACAGCAGGTGTTGCTGCTCTTCTGGTCAGTGGAAAAAGATGAGTTCCAGCACCTCCCCCCAATATGATGGATGCTACATTTTTTGGATCCACTCTTCGTCTCTCCAACCATGCTGGTTGTATTTTCTAAAACAAAACTTAGACTAAACGTCAAAGAACCAAAAGTACACAATTAAACAAGAAGTGAAAATTTTATCATTATCTGTAATCCTTCCCAACAAATCAATCATTTTGCAGACAACAAACTATATTATTAAACAGAATTCACTTACCACCGCCTCCCAGGGATTGTTTGATGTAAGAATAGCAGAAATCATCCCAGGTTTGATCTTCTTTTCTCTAGACTGAGTTCTCAAGTTCTCTGCAACGTGATTAACCCAGACACTGTTGCTAAGACTCCCCCTGATCTTCTCCCCCCAAAATCCATTGTCTCCATTGTTGAACCCACCTCGACGTCCTTTGATAGCAGGGACATTGGCTTTGAAGGCCACACAGGCAGAATCCATTCTGTTTTCTCACTGCTAAAAACGAATGACCCCAGAAGAAGATGGTGGGTCAGATACAATGGAAGCAGACCCTCCAATCTAAGAAACCAAGTATAGATCACATAAAGATATGGAAAAGAACGGATGCCAGTGGTAGTGTCATTTATACTCAAAGTTAAATTCACAATAATGTGCAGATTGCGAAATTAAGGAAACCCCCAAAAGTAAACCATGAAAAAAGAAGGAATCTTTGAATCAGAATAAAGTACCCGGATTAAGAAACCACTCAATAAACATGATTCTTAAACACCCATATGCAAAAGACTCAATAAATCGGCCGATCATAAAAGTGGAGGGATTACACACCAATGGTGACTCCAAATGATTGAGCACCAACACTAGCCGGTGGTAGTGAGCTCAAGAAATATGATCAAAAGAGACAAACAGGTCAAGACTCAGAAGTAGTGAAGCGCGTGAAATGTCCAAAGAGGGGTGATTGTTGGCTTTATTGAGAACCTCACGAGAAACCCTGAATATCATGGTATTTATAGTTTTTTTCTTTTTTTTTTTATAAAAAAATTCACTTTCCTTCTCTCTAAAATGCACCCAGTCCACTTTCCTCAATTTAGTCCAAGTTTCTAGGCTCCATTACCTTGATACTATCCAGCCATCTGTCCTTTTCAACCCAGAAAGTTTCGAAATTCATGAAAATGCAAACAAGTACCTATGGGGTGAATTAACGGCTCTGGTTTCATGTTTCCCGCCAGCTGCCATCTTGCTTTGCTCATGATAATAATTGCTCTGATATTTTGTCATGATTCTCCTTTTATATCAAATTTAATTTGACTACCATGGTCGATTATAGTCCTAACTTTTATGGGTGAATCATTGAAATTAAAACTTTCTCCAAAAATATTCACACTTTTTTTTTTTTTTACAGTAAAAAATGATTATGATTAATATTAGTATCTTATTGTACTTGGGTAAGTTCAAATAGCTAAAGGGGGTGCAATCCACCTCCTACCCAAAAGCAGTGTGGCCATCGTCGAGCCACACGGAGGTCTGCATATTCACATTTGTATTAATGTACATCAAAAATAAAAACTTTAGAAGGTTTCCAACAATTTAGATGCAAGAACAAGAATTTATTTGAGGTGTTATAAAGAGTAAAGTTTCATTCTTTTAAGCAATAACAAAATTTTAGTGATTCTTAAGGCATAGATGAAAATGATTTTTTTTTTTAAAGAAAGACAATTATTTACAACTACAAAGGGTTGGGGGAAGGTGAAGTCGAGAGTTGAAATTCAAAGTTTCCAACGATGTTCCTACTTAAAAATAAAGTGGAATCACTCCATTCCCAATGTAAAAAACATAGATGAAAAGGATTTAAAGAGAAAAGAGACAAAAAGATGAATGTTAATTAGATAAATTAGACATGCATATGAATTATCTATTGGTTTACTCTGATAATGCATTCAGGAGTAAGATCTAGGGAGAACAAGATGTGCCAAGCTAAATGATAAAAGATATCAATCTATAAAAATATATATTTATTGCACCTTAATTTGTGATTTAAAACACAATTAATAATTAAAAAATTAATTATCAACGACCTAAATAATTTAGTGATTATCTTTTTTCATTAAAAGTAAGATATCCTAAATTCGAGTTACATATCATGCGAGTATAATGAAATAAAATATGAAAAAGGATTACTTCTTGTTATGCAACCAACATTAAAAAAAATGATTATGAATAGTAAACCATTAAAGAAAAATATATAATCGTAGTATGAAAAATTAAATATATATTTTATATGTTCCATTTTACTAGATTTAATTTTTAATTTATAACCTTTAAATTTTTTTTGTTTTTGGAACAATATTGTCATGGAGTGAGTTCGAACCCACCCAAAGGAGGTGCACTTCAAGTTGACCGAAGGCTCAAGTGCTACAACATTTAAATTTAATTGTTCACTTTTTATATTATTGAATATGTTTATTTATATTTTATACTTATTTTAAAAACTAATTACAACATATCATTTAAGTAGTAATTAATTAAAGATAAATATAAAATTTTATCAATTAATTATTATTTTATTATTTTATTTTAAAAATAGACCTATTAAAATTGAACAATAATAGTATTTAATAAATACTCCATTTATTCATTTTTAATAGTCTTAATTTAATTTTTTAATTATTTAAATATACATTTTAAATAAAAATTTAATATATTATATAAATAATTAATTATTATTTTATTATTTTATTTTAAAAAT